CACTCACCGTCAGCCGGGCTGCCACCTCAACACTGTCAGTGTTATTATGTTACTGGATCATTATTATTGATCATTATAATGTAGGAGATACTTTAATGCTGTAGTTGGTGGAGGTGGAGCTCATTTGAACTGCTTCTTAATACTGTTGGCTAGTTTTATCTACACTGATCACATGTTTGTGTTTAAAATAGGAATCTGAAAAGTAACTAGTAACTATGGCTGTTAAATAAATGTAGTGCAGTAAAAAGTACAATATGTGTCTCCTCTGGATTTTAGTGCCAGCTGGTGGTGCTCTAAGTGCTCCTGTTTGTGTGGGAACGGTGAGGTGGGGGGGAGGCAGTGGGGCTGCGGGAGGGGCCCCGGCAAGGACGGGGATTGTTGGACTTTGGTTTGGGGCTACACTGACCTGCCTCGGGGGGGTCTGGGGGTCTGGGGCTCGGGGCTTTGGAGCCTCTGGGTCTTGGGCGGGTCTGCGCGCTGGGGGGGCTGGGCCCCCCTGGACCTGTCCTGGGGCTGGGCGGGGTTGTCGCGGACTCTGGGGTGCTGCCGGTGCTAGAGGGGCTCTTGCTATAAGCCCTGGGCTGGAGGGACCTGGCGTCCTCCTGCTTAGGGGGGTGGGGGACGGGACTGAATGAATGATGGGCCCAGTCAGGAATCTGGTGCCAGTGAGGAGGACCATTCTAGTATCCCTATGACCTCCTTCACCTATCTCCCTTTGGTAATGTCTCACAAAATACACCCTTAGGACTCTGGGGGCGGGTAGGCTGCAGGGCGTTTGGTGGGTGGGGCCCACTCTTGACCTTGGGATTTGGGGACTTGGGCTTGTGGCTTTTGCTCATTTCTGGGCGGGTGGTGTGTCCCTGGGCCTGGGGGCCTGTTGTCTCCTCTCCTCGCCTGGGCCCTCTTCGGCAGGGGTGGGGCTCCCGCTGCTTCCCCCTGCCAGCTCTCTCACAGTGGGGGCATTCGGGAGTCTCAGGGGCGCATCGCCGGCGTTGTCGGGGTAGGTTTTGGTACTCCTCCTTGGGGGTGCTTGACTGGGGGGGTTGGGCCCCATGTCCGGGGATGAGATCGGCCTCGGGGGCTGCTGGCACTGCCTGCACTCTAGGGAGGGATGCCTCGGGCTGGGCTGGGGGACCGTTGGCCTGGTTCTCCTGCGTTACCGCTCCCTGGCTGCAGGGAGCTTCCCGGCACGGCTTTCTGCTGTTCTTCCTTGGGGCGGGGTACAGCTTCCCCCGGGACATGCGGTCTGTGGTCCTTTGGGCTTTGGGGGGTCGCGGGGTGCCCTGGCTTCTGGGGGTGGGGGTCTCTGCGTGGGTTGATACGGTTGCGGTTTGGAGGGCTGCAGTGGGATTGTAGGACGATTGTGCTTTTTCCCTGGGCAGGGTCTCTGAATGGCTGCTGGGCGTTTAGTTTGTGCATTGGAGTCCAGGGAGGCATTTCCTCATTGGCTTGGAGGGACCAGTTTGCGTCCCTGTTTTGCTTCGTTGGCCTCGGATCCGTGCTTCCCCATTTCTCTGTCGGCCAGTTGTTGGACTCCTCTGGATACTGAGGTATATAGTTAGTTTTCGGGATGTGCAGTGTGGGTGCGGGGCAGGGCTGTGCTCCGGTTTGTTCTGGGTTTGTGCCTGGAGTTCTCGGCCCTTGACGGGTGGGTGGGTTGTTGGTGGCATGGAGCTGAGCTAGTTGATTTTGCCTCGTTGCTGGTTTGGCTGGTGTTGCACGGACTTTTATTGGCGGGTGCACGGTGACAATGTGCGGCGCGTTTGCTGCCGGGCTGGGACTTGCTGCTGGTCTTTCTCTCCGCTGGCTGTCGTGTTATTCCGCTTGCTCTCTCTCGTTTGCCCGACCTCGCACGCTGGATTCGCGGGGGGCTGCTGGGCACTGGGTGTTGCCGTGCTCGCGCAGTGTGCGCGTTGGCCTTGTCACTTGTGCATTGGTGTTGATGATTGCGTGGCATTTTGGCGTTTTGGTTGTTCGCTGCGTGGCGGTGGGGTGCTGGGTGGGAGGGGGAGCACTGGTCTATGTTGTGTGCGCGCCACGGTCGGTCCGGGCGCTGCTCTTCCGCGGGTTACTTTTTTTGCGTTCCGTCGGCATTACGTTGTCAACTGGCATTTGGGTCGGGGTCTTCCGTGTTTGCATCGCGGTGCATCTGGGAGTCTTTTTTTTTTATTGATTTATTCTTTTTCTTTCTCCCACCCCTATTGGCTACTGGGGTTCTTGCCTGCCTGTTGCTGGGGTAGGTGTGGCACAGTCATGGCGTCCCACTCTCACTAACAACTACATTCTTTAACAGACTTAGCCCCCCTCTCTGTTCTATTGCAGGTTTCGTTGCTTTCTGCAATTGGTGTTTCCCACTGCTTTTCCCTGTTGTCCCCACCTTCCATCCCCCTTCTCTTACAGGTCTTGTCCTTTCTCTGTGCTGTCTGTTTTTGCCCCCTGTCCGGCCTGGTGATAAATCATTACATAATTAAATAAATAATAAAACAGACAAAGTATAGTAGTATAGTATATTAATACTCTCTTAAAATACAATCTGTCTGGCACAATATGGTATCCAGGTCATCATACTCTATACCAGGCTGCTGGGCAGGACAGGATAAAAAAAAAAAAAGAAGCCCAATATGTCCTACTTTGAGTATAAAGCACCATAAAATGAATGTACTCAGGTAAAATATAAGTACCTCAAAGTTGTAAAGCACAGTACTTGAGTAAATGTACTTGGTGAGTTTCCAGCAGTGGAAATAAAGAAAACAAAGATGGTGGTTTGGTGTTTTACTTCAACACTGAATCTGATCCAGCTGCAGCAGTTTTCCAACCTTAAAGCTCCTTCAGGGGAAATCTGAGGAGAAAAGTGGGTTTGAAGAAGTTAAATCGGGGTCTCATTTTAACTTGTGCGCAGAGTTTAATTTTAAATCCAGTTTAACATTTTAAATCAGTTGGAACTAAATTCTGATTCCATAAAATTTTTGCCAAATGAAGTGAGTCAGACACAAAGTGTTTACATCAGCAGTTCAGTTAAAGCTCTCTGAGTGAAAACAGTGGAAAAGCTGACATCTGCTGGCAGAAAGCAGCTCCAGCAGGAGCTCCAGAACATGAACGCTGCTACTTTATGCACATGTGGAGCAAATCCTCTGTATGAGTCACTTTGATTTCAAAACAAGGCGTCTGCAGCATAAAGACAGTAAATGAAAAAGATCTTCCCCTGCAGAGTAAAGCCTTCAGTTCACTAAGTGCAGGGTGTCATTCAATGTTTAATGAATTAGTAAAAGTAGTGCATCATGCTGAGTCGTTATGAAGTTGTTGACGCTTCAGTATCCCACGATTATCATTACTCAGAGCAGCTGCTGAAAAAGCAGAGATTCAGAATGGTTTAATGTTGGTATGTAAAGTGGCCACACAGCTATTATAATATTTAGCTTGTTGATAAGTGAAGCAGCCTTTCGTCTGAGAGCCACAGAGTGAATCAGCTGCAGGTGATCAGCTGAGTTATTATTGAACATGACTTCCTGTATTCAGACCAGTGAATCAGTTTGAGAGTGACAGCAGCTTCTCATCCTGTTGACAGTTTAATACTGGGGCCACCTTTTGACTGAGCGAGCACACGTTGGAAACTAATTCACATTAATTGTGCAAAGAAAACAGGACCTTTCTCAGTGTAGCAGTCAGACGGCTTTTCGCCTTTATCTTCTGCTCAGAGCCTCATGAAGACGTAAACAGCTGACTACAGACATCATCTGTTTGTAATCAGCTAAGAAACTACAGTGAAGCCTTGATTGAATCCAGACGTTGTTCACGTTTTATCTCCTTTCTGATCCTCATAAGAAAATATTAACGTTGTGTTATCGAACTTAGTATTATTCATGCAATGAATTGAGAATCTCTTAACAAGATGACCGTATATTTTCCTTCGTAAATCGTACATTTATTTTGCTATAGTCTGACGGTGGTCATCCATGTTACTCTTTGAAAGCTAGATCCAGTCACACTGTAGGCTTTTGTAAGGAAGCTACTCCTACAAATATCTACACGGTCCATTGATACTGTAAAATCAAGATCACTGTGATCAGTTTAACACATTGCTCGCCTTAATTAGCCTTAATCTAGGCCTCCTACTTGACTCAGAATGTACATTGAACTGAATGCCGCATTGTAGACAATATTTTGTATTATTATCATAATCATTTAATAATGCATTGCATTGAAATAGCACTTTTCATACACACAAAGCAATTACAGTACTTGTCCTACCAGGCTGGACAAACTGCCAAAATATATTTCCCCCTACATAATACACAGATGATAGCATCATCAAGTATTTTATTTTGTGTAAACTTCACATCATGACTAATAACAGTGATGAATGTGGAGTAGTTTCTTCTTTCATCCAAGTTATACGGGGATAAAAAGACTTTTTAATGAATTTTTTATATACACAGCGGATCAGATGACGACGTGAAAGCGAAAGAGGTTGTTCATAGAGACAAACCCACAGATAATTATCACCAGACTTTGTAGTTCTTTAATTAAGTTTCTGCAACAACACAATCTGTTGGGATATACTAGTAAAACAGAGTATTTTAAATAAAGTAAACAGATATATAATCCTGCGCTAATAACAATGAGACTTAAATCCAAACTTTTTACAGGTTTTATCTTGTTTCTGTGAGTAACTATTATCTGTTAAACTGACAGAAAAGTCTGGTGTTGGTGAGCAGAACTTCAGAGAGGGAACAGAATGCATAAATGCATGCAACATCTGAATGAAATAAAGTCCAGGTCCACGTCCAGGTGGAGGAGGTGTCTGAGTGTGCAGCAGAAGGAGTGGAGGAGTCTCAGTGTGTCTGCAGAGACTGTGTAGAAGGACAGAGCAGCAGCAGAGCAGTCCAGATCCACTGATGATACTCTGTCACATCCAGAGGAACACACAGGGATGATGGTGGACTTGACTTTGTGTCTGACAGTGGAGCTGATCTCAGAGCAGTTCAGACTGCAGCACTGTTGTGATTCCTCTGTCAGTCACTGCTGGATGAAGCTCTCCTCTCCACTCTACCTCCCAGTAACATGGCCCAGTCAGAGCCTCTCCACACACAAGCTGATGCTGCTGCTTCAACCTCTCTGGATCATCAGGACACAGCTGATCCTCTCTCAACACCTCCACCTTTCTGACCCCTCACACTCTGACAGAGATCACTTCCATCTGGTGAGAGAAGAAGACAGAGAGCAGAAGTCATAAAGCAGATTTTACAGAGACAGGGAGGAAAAAAGGAGAGTTTAAGCAAAAGAATGCAAGAAGAGGCAAGAGCAAGCAGCAAAGTGTCTGCACTGTAAGAAAGCAGGAAGTTTAATCAAACACATGTTCACTGCCTGTTCTCTCTCTCTCTCTCTGTCTCTGATTAAATCCTGAAGCCTGTCACCATCCTCCTCTCACAGCTTCACTGAGGAAAGCAGCAGCTGAGAAGGTTGGAGGTTTACAGGAAATACTGGATCTCTGCTTTGATACTGTGTTTATCACAACATTTTGTAATGCCAATAATTTTAGTGAGGCTGTTAGTGAGTTTTCATGGTCTTGAAAGTCTTCCGTGGTATCAAATAAAGGAAAAGCCCTGGCCCTGATGACATCGGAGGTCAGTTTTTGAAGGACTGTGCTGTGCAACCGGTAGACATCCTCTGCTTCATCTTCCAGTTGTCCTTACAGCTGCATGAGGTTCCTTGTCTTTGGAAGGACTAATTGGAATAATTGTTCTTGTGCCTAAGATTCAAACTCCAAAGACACTTTTGAAGGTGTGCAGCAAAATTGCTCGTTCACCCTTCAATGAACTCCATGACCTGTACAAGGTCAGGTCCTTAAAGGAAGAGAGAACAATCTTGGCTTATACAAGCCATCCCTTATGAGGTGAATTCATGCTGCTAACACCAGGGCGCAGATATAGCCTACCACGATGCAGAACAAATGGGCTTTATTAGGGTTGCAAGCCCGCGAAGGGCATGGGAACCCAGGACCAGCAGGGCTGGGAACCCTATTGTAATGGTATTCATTTTTATTATCATTATTCTTCCTTACATAAAAGTGATACTGCGGCCTACACGGGAAGTAAATCAGTAATAACTCCTCAGCCTAGATGCATAATTCTGGTCTCCTTTGATAGGTTAGAAGCTAAGGAATATGAATCAACTTTACACAAAACTATTTACTTTTCTATTAAAGGTTAAATGGAGATGCAATAAAGGAATATATGATATTTTCATCCTCACTTGGAATAAAATCTATATTTTAATAGCAATATCACAATTAAAACAATCATCTAACTCATTATAATGCAACTGAATATCTTCTAATACACCGGAAATACAACTGTAACTGTAAAGTTGATGAAAAGAAACTGGCCATATTTACTGTTTATATGTTCACTTTTATTAGGATTTTTCTTCAAAACACTATTTCTCTCCATACAACCACATTCTAAATAACATAAAGCTTCCAAAACATTGAAATATTGATAAAAACAGTGAATATTGATCAACATGCTTTACAGACCCACAAGTTGAGAACAGAACATCCTACAGGGCTGTAAGTGCTGTCCTGGGGTGGCTGTGGCTCAGGGGGTAGAGCGGGTTGGCCGTTAACCGGAATGTCGGCGGTTCGATCCCTGGCTCCCCCTGGCGTGTCGAAGTGTCCTTGGGCAAGATACTGAACCCCGATTTGCCCCTGGCGGCTATTCCGCCAGTGTATGAATGAGTGTGAATGTTAGTTTCCGTTTGAGCACAGTGTATGAATGTGAATGCAGATGTAGTGTAAAAGCGCTTTGAGTGGTCGAAAAGACTAGAAAGGCGCTATACAAGTACGGAGCATTTACATTTAATATATTGAAGCATTTACATTTAATATATTGAAGAGACAAATCGATTGGTATACTGGTTGGCCAGTAGAGGCTGATAAAGAAAGTCTGTTCCAAAGAAATGCTTGTTCTCTCCTTCATTTTGACAAGAGAAACAAAACCTAAGAATTCACAGATTGAGCAATATCAAGATGGCGGACCGCGGCGATCTCTATTGACACAATGTCGGGTCGGAAATTACTCTATTAGATTTCTTCTTTAGTCAAAAACTGTGTAGTCAAAAACTTCACTGGAGACGGTCAAGAGTCGGTGCAAAAGAGTTTATTCCAATAAAGGACAGATAAACCCGAGCAACATCCCTGCAGGTCTCAGGATGGAACCGAGTTGGTGGTCAGCGAACATCGCCTTATATTCACCTTAAGCTCCACCTTAAGCTCCACCTTGTCCCTCCCTTCAGGTGGGCGTTACATCTTAACTCCTCCTTATCTCCTCCCTTCAGGTGGGCGTTACAGCTTAACTCCTCCTTATCTCCTCCTTCCAGGTGGGCGTCACACCTTAACTCCATCTATAGTGTTCGCTGACCACTCCTCCCCTTTGGTGCATTTCTTATCCTCTACTGCCATCTAGTGGCCTTTTTCTTGTACTGTTTTACCAAATTAACCCTTTCATTAATGTTACAATGTCCACTTTTTAGCTATTATTACATGTAATTATTGTTACCATTTATCTCTCTTTATATTTTTTACATTACTGGATTAGAAATCCACCAATATGTTTCAACTTCAGTCCCACCGTATTTTTTAAAAGTTATACAGGCATAGTTTGACACCATTAAAACTTAAACACTTACAATCGTAAAAGAATTAATAAGGAGTAACATATTCAATACATGTATAACGTGATTCAATGAACAAGTACATGATTCAACAATGCCAACCATGAGGGTGCTTTGTCTCATACAAGTTTAGTTTCGGCAGCGCAAAGCTTGGTTTCGTGCAGTACCTGGCCGTACCCTGCCGTACCAGGCGCCATAAATCACAATGTGTCATGATCTCATTCTTGGCCTCAGTTTGCGATGATCTCAGGCCTGGCGTACGTGACTGACAGCAGGTGCCTCGCTTCTATTGAGTGGGTTACGGTTGGCTAGGTTTTGCCTGCGCGGCCTGAGCAGCTTCTCTGCTCATGTAGGCACATTGAAAAAGCACACGTTCATGAATACACAGAGTATAAGAATAATATATGATAAACACACAGAGTATAAGAATAAATATGAGTTTGAACACACTCATTAAACACTCAGTAGTTAAACTTTACACTAAAAGAATAACAGCACCTTTACCCTGTGAGACCACAGTCATTCTTCCAGTGGCTATACTACAAACACTTCTAAGTAATTATAACATATTGTAAACCAACAAAGTGTATAAATATAGAAAAAGAACCTAACAAACAATCTAGGAATTAGGCATTATTCATCAACAACCCACAGCTGTTTTTGGACTGAAAACTGTGAAAACGACAAAAGCAAGTCAGCAGTTGTAACTGTAAATATATATTGCTGCGTTTGTTGTTATTGTTAGTCGGCTAATAACTCTTTGTGATTTGAGTGATATGAGTAACACAGCTAATCAGAGCTGGAGCTGAGCTTTCTTTAGAGTGGTCAGACTGCGAGGTAGGATGAAATGAGACATACGTGGAAGGCAGTAAGTGCATCCACGTACAGTGATTACAGAGCCATTCATGTTGTGATACAAGTACATTTAGATGCTGTTTGATGTGTGTTTGGTGTGGATAAACATGGTTGATTTGAGATGCTATCTGAGCCTCCTAGCTTCACAGAGGTGTGTGGCATGCATAGGGTGACAAAATAATCTGATCATCCATGGATTTTTCAATTTGAGGCAAAAAAATCGATCGTCCTGCCTGGTAACGGGATTAACTCCTCCGAACCGGCGAGTCCGATTGGCACCAACCTTGGCACAGACCATCATTTGACGAATTTGATAAAAGTTGTGAATTATAAGCCAACAAATGTTTGTGCGCAATGCAAAAAACAGAAAGTGATGTCATATCTTTATGGTTTAGAGTGGCTGATCTACACCAAACTTGGTGAGCTTATGTGGCATTTTATTTACTTATTATAACAATGCACCATATGTGTACCAGATATAGCTAAAAGCTAATTCCCATCTGCAGTCCCTGGGCAGGTGCCAATAGTGCACAAGATATTACAGTAAAAAAACTTTGGTGCAATTACCTCCTAGGTGGCGCTGTGTAACAGCAATTATTATCTGTTTCTCCATAACCACACCTCACATTGACATGCCACTGGAACCGAATTGTTCAGGACAGTCTCCTTACTCCAGGGACCAAAGTTGACTCTAACATGCCTATAGGTGGCGCTGTTATTGCAGATTAAATACATTTTAAAAATCCCATTGTCTTATATTAATTTTATATCTCCATAACCACAAGTCCGATTGATATCAAATTTGGGTGAATTGTTGTCAATTATCCCTGCTATTATCAACATTTTAAATGACTCCAACCCTCTACTGACCTCAGAGTCTCCAGCCTACAGTGTGGACTCTCCAGAAGATCAGACAGCAGCTTCACTCCTGAATCCTGCAGCTCCTTGTTTTCTCTCAGTCTTAGACTGTTTCCACCCAGCTCCAGCTCTCTCAGATGGGAGGGGTTGGACTTCAGAGCTGAGGCCAGAGAAGCACAGCTGATCTCTGACAAACTGCAGCAACTCAGTCTGAATAAAGAATAAATGATGTAACGTTAGAAGACAATGTTCCTGCTTCAAATCATTCAGTGTTTAATAATCTGTTCAGAGCTGAAGAAGGTTTAGAATGTAGAAGTTTAGTAATGGAAACTCCAAACACCTGAACCAACAGGATGGAGGTTCAAACTGTAAAAAATAAAAAGGTCAAAAGAGCTCTCATTAATATTAATAACAACGTGCAGCTACTTCAATAAAGACATAGTCTCTTCACCTCTTAAACTCTGCAGCTCCACCAGTGGCTCCATCTGTACAAACTCATGTTGTGCAGCCAAATAAAAACCAGAGAAACTGTTTTAAGATTCGACTCGAGATCATATTTTTGCATTAAGATACACAGGGTGCATCCCAAGTCTCTTAATTGCATCCATGTTTCCCTCACTTGCATCTTTTCCTTGTGTCTTAGTCCCGCCCACTGGGGAAGAATGGAGAGACGCAAGAAAACAATGCGAGAGGAGAAGGAACAAGGAAATATGTTTTTCGAGACATGAGACGTTCTTTCCTCAAAAGCGTCACCTGAAGTGACGTCCATTATTGATGAGAGCAGAAGCTGATCACTGCTGGATCAGTCGGCTTTACCAGCTGAAGAGACTTGATGGAGTTTGTGTCTGCACACAAACTGTTGTGCACTGTGCTGATGATAATAAAGGGTCAATGTTTTCTCTCTGTAGCTGTTTAACAAGCACCTGCATATGAATAATTATATTTATACTTTGTCCTGCTCAGAGACAGAATAATTTCTACTGGCAGAATGTTTTATTATTTATGTGCATCTGTATTTATTGTCATTGTGTATTCATTACTAAATAACCCAGTATATGATCATGGTGTATTTTGAACATACTGATTTATGAGACTAAATGTTTAAGGGAAATTGAAATGATTTAACTCATATGAAAGCTTAAGCTCAGTTTTCCATTTATTTCATCTTGTGATGTTCTTTAACTCTACTCCAAGCATTTTATTTGTGAGTCACTTCTAACTCATCCCAGATCAATCAATGCGTACAACGTTTAATGTGGCTTAACGTCTTGCAGAAGCTGATTTTACTCACGTAGCCACCTGCTTTCATCAGATGCAGTCGGTGAGATCTGCTGGATGTGCAGACTTTCTTTGACTTTGCTTGCTTCATTAGGATGTTAAAACCTAGATGACCTGTAATTTTCTAATGTTAAACTCAGATAAAACTGAAGTTATTGTTCTGGGGCCCAAGCACCTTTGTGACGCATTATCTAAAGATATAGTTTCCCTTGATGGCATCGCCCTGGCCTCCAGCACCATTGTGAGGAATCTTGGAGTTATCTTTGATCAGGACATGTCGTTTAAGTCTCACATTAAGCAAATTTCAAGGGCCGCCTTTTTCACCTACATAATATTGCGAAAATCAGGAACATCCTGTCTAAAAATGATGCAGAAAAACTAGTCCATGCATTTGTTACTTCTAGGCTGGATTACTGCAATTCTTTATTATCAGGCTGCTCGAAAAAGTCCATTAAGACTCTTCAGCTGATCCAGAATGCTGCAGCACGTGTTCTGACAGGAACCAGGAAAAGAGATCACATTTCTCCTGTTTTAGCTTCTTTGCATCGGCTTCCAGTAAAATCCAGAATAGAATTTAAAATCATTCTTCTTACCTACAAAGCTCTTAATGGTCAGGCACCATCTTATCTTAAAGAGCTCATAGTACCTTACTACCCCACCAGAGCACTGCGCTCCCAGAATGCAGGGTTACTTGTGGTTCCTAGAGTCTCCAAAAGTAGACTAGGAGCCAGAGCGTTCAGCTATCAAGCTCCTCTCCTGTGGAACCAGGTTCCAGTTTGGGTTCAGGAGGCAGACACCATCTCCACATTTAAGAGTAGGCTTAAGACTTTCCTCTTTGATAAAGCTTATAGTTAGGGCTGGCTCAGGTAGTCCTGAACCATCCCTTAGTTATGCTGCTATAGGCCTAGACTGCCGGGGGATTTCCCATGATGCACTGAGCTCCTCTCTCCTCTACTTTCTCTCCCTCTGTCTGCAACCTCATCCCATTATTGCATGTTACTAACACAACTTCTCCCCTTTCTGGTAGTCTTGTGCTTTCTCGTCCCTCTCCTCTCTCCTCCTATCACTTCCTGCAGGTGTTTCTTTCGAGGCAGATGGTCGCCCACCCTGAGCCATGGTTCTGCTCGAGGTTTCTGCCTCTAAAAAGGAAGTTTTTCCTTGCCTCTGTCGCGTAGTGCTGCTTTTGGTGGGAATTGTTGTGCTTCTGTAAATAACATCACAGAGTACGGTCTAGACCTGCTCTTTAATGAAAAGCGCTGTGAGATAACTGTTGTTGTGATTTGGCGCTATATAAATAAAATTGAATTGAATAAAGGTGCAGTTTAGTTTGACTCCTTACTCGTTTACAATGTTTATTTGTCATCTGTTTGGACTAAACACTGTGACTGATTGAAAATGCTGATAAATTATGTAAGCCTAAAAAGTGCTTCTTGCTGACAAACTCTCCGACTCTCTGACTTTAATGGTCTCCATAAAATACATTAATGGGGGAAATCTCAGTAAAACAGAAATATTTCTAACAGCCTAAATGAAGAAGCGTTGTGTGCTGCTTTTGTTGTTCAGACTTAGAGTGAACACAGATTTTACCTAGACTGTGAATTATAAAACAAATCAACGGATTTCCAATAAGGGGTCGTGTCAGTCAGTAAAAAACTTCCGCGAAGAATGCACTTGTGTATGCGCTCTCATAGCTCCTCAGAGATGGGTCCTCGTTTCTCGGAGCACAATTAAGAGCTTTGGGACGGTCTGCAAGAAGGCCGACCAGAACAACTTCTGGTTAAGGCGAGGGACGAGGAGCGAGGAAACGACAAATAAGAGACTTGAGATGCACCTTCATTGTGAATCAGTATAATATCAACCATAAGGCTGTGATGAAGGTTATGGGAAAGAAAGACTACACTTTCCTTCAGACCATCACCGTCTCCCAGCCTCAGAAAATTCTGAAGGATCCTTCCCATATTCTTCACTCTGAATACGATGTTTTACCTGCAGGGAAACGCCTTAGAGCCAGCAGATGTAAAAGTAACTGCTATAAGCTGTCCTTCATCCCAACTTCCACAGCGCTCCTAAATAAACAATCTGCTCAGAACAAGATGGCTTGAAGTAATTCAGCACTTTATTTTTAAGCATAGTTGTTTGATCGCTTGCACTAATGTTTTTTATCAACCAGATCTATATGAGTCTTTTTTAATATAGAATTGTGGCGGTAGTACTTTTAGTGTTTGTCATACTGTTTTCTGCTTTATGTGCTCAAAGGTAATTGAATATTATAATTCTGAGGTTTCATATCACTCAGGTTCTATTTACCTTGTAATCAATGATTGACAGGGGCAGGGTCATAGATACTTGTGCAATGTAATGTAAATGTATGGTGGATTGTATGATGTATGTGAATGTAAAGTCCATATGTGTTACTGGTGTTTACTGCAGCCTCATGCAGCACTGATGTCCAAGACAAATTTCACTCAGGGGACAATAAAGTTGATCTTATCTTAAAATGTGGGGATTTGGTTTTGGTATTTCCTGTTTTAGTCCGTTAATCATTTCCTGTCTCTGTGTTTTCTCGTTCTCTGTATTTGTTTTGTCTTGTCATTTATTCATTTGTTCTGTTTCCTGGTATTTTCCTCTTGTCTCATTTCAGGTCACTTCCCTCCGTGCTGTGGTATTCTTCTACTAGTTTGATGGATTTGTACCTGCTCTGCTTAAATGTCCTGCATTTGGGTACAAATCCCTGCTTTTTCCTGTGTCTGCACTCCGCTAATGCACCACCATGAGTCTACAGTCCAGTGTCACTACAACTCTCAGATATATCATATTAATCTCAGCACAAAAACAAAAAATGGTGTCTGACCTCAGAGTCTCCAGTCTACAGTGTGGACTCTCCAGAAAACCACACAGCAGCTTCACTCCTGAATCCTGCAGTGTCTTGTTTCCACTCAGCTCCAGCTCTCTCAGATGGGAGGGGTTGGACTTCAGAGCTGAGGCCAGAGAAGCACAGCTGATCTCTGACAAACTGCAGCATTTCAATCTGAATAAAGAATAAATGATGTAGAGGAAATTTGATTTAAAATCCAGTCAGATGTGTTTAGGTTTGAAATGTGTATCAATGATCAGACAATATTTGTGACAACACATTGAAATTAATGTAAACTCCAGCAAGTAAAACATTAGTTCAGAATGAGATCTTCTGAGAGCTTCTATCAGCAAGATTGCTAGAGGAACCAGAGGGACCCTGTCACAGTTATTCTATGGAAGGGGAGAGGGTGGACGTCAATAAGAAACTGGACTGAAAACACAACACTTGCACCCTCTTCAGGAAGAGACAGAGCAGATCCTTCAGTGAGTGCAACAGGCTCCTGAAGACCTTCTACCAGTATGTAGTAGCCAGTGCTCTGGTGTGCTGGGAAGGTGGCATCAAAGCCGGCAAGGCGAAGTTGGTGAGGAAGGCCAGCTCTGTAGACAGACTGCAACCCGACACTATGGAGTCAGTGGTGTAGAGGCAAACTCTCCATGAGAAGCTGAACATTTTGAGGGCTTTGGGCAAAGCCTCAAGTTTCTACAAGACTCTATAGCTCCGCAGCGAAGGAATGATTTCACTGGCTAGGATAGTTCCTTCTGCTTCCACTCTCTCAACAAAAAAAAAGACATCCAAATTACTCAAGCTCAGCTTTTTTAATCAGGTTTTGAATTTTAAACATTTTTATTGTTTCAATCAATTCTAATCACTATAAAGGTGTATGCTTGCCCTTGCTCAATTTTGCAACAAATTTATAATCACTGCAATTAAAGTACAAGTTGTAGACATTCAGTTTAAAGGCAAGGCAATGCTTTACTTGGTATAGTGTGTTTACCTACTTTAAAAGGCCCTTATCTTGGGGCCTATTTTCCCAGCAACTAAATATTATCCTAACCAAACCAAGTGCACTGATCAATGAGAAGAGAGCTGCTGTTAACCGACATGGCTGTTGTGGTATCTGGCTCTAGGGCTATACGGCCTGGTGCTTTTTCAGAGTTAGCAGGGTAGGCATCCAGATAAAGGCAGTTAAAAGCTAGACAAATCTCTTCGACACCAGCTTAAACATTCCTCAGTTTTAACTAATAGGATAATACTCTGGCCTGGACGATCAGTACCTTCAAACAGAGAGCTGGACCAGTACCTCCTGTACAGGGGTAACTTGGCATCCAACAATTCACACTATTCTCCCTCTCAACAGTCTGTTGAACGAATTCATATGTTATTTGTTCTATATTGTATTATACCTATACTATTACTTACCTTATAATCTTTTAATATTTTATATGACATTGGGGTACTATTCTACAGATTATGGTATACTATAATCTGGGAGAGGCAGAGGGTGCTGCCGCCCCGGGTCCACGGCTCATAGGGGGCCCACATTAGACCCAATCTGCCCGACTGAACATGCGTTTTTGTTGTTTAGTTGAAACAGTTGAGGCATGCTGACTGTGGCACTGTGCAGAAGACGGATCAGGTATAAAGTTTGAATTTCAAGAGAGTTACACAGCTTATTACATCAGAAAGTTACTGCTAACATTACTGCATACTGCTCTCTCCTCATCAGGACACCTGTGCTTTCCCACTCACCTGAAGCAGATTCTGCAATCACCTAACCTGTCTTAATCCTCAGCTTTCTAACCAATCTTTGCCAGATCGTCTGTTTACCTAAGTGGTAACACTTGCTTCGGCCAATCTTAGTTTTTTTGCATAGTTGCCTGTTGAATCACTTGTCTTGATCCTTGTCTGACTTTACATGTTTTTGCTCCTGCTTCAGATACCCGCACGTCTGCCCGCACTCAGCCCCAGTCTCACGGAGGATTTCTAAGCCCTATTTCCTCCTGTTGTTCAATAAAACCCCTGTTCCTGTTTCTAACTGTGCCTGTGCCTCTGTCTCTGCTCCTGCATTCTAGACAGCCCAGTCTAACAAGGTGGTAGTTCTCAGTATAATAAAAGACACAACTGCACTGATCTGGGTTCCTCCTTGTGTAGGACAAGGCCCGGGCTCATGTGACTAGAGTGTGTAGGCAGTTCCTGGATGAAAAAGGCACTGATTCCATTGACTGGCCCTCACGGTCCCCAGACCTGAATCCAATTGAGAACCTCTGGGATGTTATGTATCAGTGCATCCAATGTCAATAAGTAGTCAAACAAACTGTCCAGGAGCCATTTTGTTCTCAATGAATTATACGATGTACAGTTAAGATTTTAAACTTTTATGTTCATCAAGATCTAATTGATTTAAGTGTTCCTTGGAATTTATTTGAGCAGATTTGCTGACTCACTGTTCACACTATCACATCACTATCACTTTACCTTGTAATCTTGTCTTTAATTGCTCTTGTATTCTTTGCATTTTCTTAGTTTTACATACCTCTTATTACTTGTTTTTTTCTTTCCTATTCTGTTCTTAATCCTGAGCTTGCTGCTGCAACAACCTAAATTAAATTCCAATGAATAAAGATAATCTTATCTAATATATGTAATTTTGTGACTGCATTGTAAATTTAGAAAAATTAAATAAAACCAAAAACAAATATTCAACTTTATGGATGGAAGTTATGTATTAACATAAATTTGCTTTAATTGTTAATTAAACATATCAAATCTACAATAGTAACAGAGTCAGTGAGCTGACCTCAGAATCTCCAGTCCACAACTTTGACATCATATTAATCTCAGTACAGAAAGAAAAAAAATGGTGTCTGACCTCAGAGTCTTCAGTCTACAGTGTGGACTCTCCAGAAAACCACACAGCAGCTTCACTCCTGAATCCTGCAGGTTGTTGTCACTCAGCTCCAGCTCTCTCAGATGGGAGGGGTTGGACTTCAGAGCTGAGGCCAGAGAAGCACAGCTGATCTCTGACAAACTGCAGCCCCTCAATCTGAATAAAGAATAAATGATGGAGAAAATAAAATAAAATAAAATAATAAAAAATTTATTATCCAACCACATATGTTCAGGTTTTATCTGAAACAACCTGTGTGTCAGAGTGAAATGCGAGGCCAGGGAAGAATGCACGTCAGACATAATCTTTCCCTTACTCACCTACCTGAGTTAGGGAGACAGAAAAAGGCCCATCTCTCAATGGGGCTTTTCTAGTCAACACATGACATGCATCTTAAGCTGTCTGTGTCAGTGTAGCAATGTGGAAGTGCTTATGTGCTAAATTGGCAAATTGAGACACGTGGAGAGGGAACTGTGACTGTGGGGTGACTAATTAACATGTATTACCACTGAAGGACAGCTTGTGCTTCACTGTAGTACAGTAGGCCATGATTCCTAAGTTGACCAGCTCTGCAGAAGAGTTTGAAGTGTATGTGGGCTACACGCACTCCACTCGATCTGGAAGGCGAAAGCTGGTAAGGTGGCTGACACAGTCTGAATGTAGATGACTGTGGTTGAGAGAGCCACCATGGAAAGCTACTACTTTTAATTGTCTCGCCTGGCTTTGCGCTTATATTAGTGACTTTTTGTGTTGTTTGTGTATTGCCACCTTAGCTTTTAGTCTTATACAACCTGGTGCAGATAAAACCCGATCGCTTTCTGAAGCCTTGTTTGGGGACTAGTCAGACGTTCTTAGCTAGGTCCATCTGTTTGTTTGCCTGGTTGCTACTGGTGGCTGGCCTTTGAAACAGCTGATCACCATTATGGCTATGCATAGACATTGCCTGCCAGCATACTCATTGTTGCAAGAGGACATCAGACAGCTGAAGTGTGATCTAATGAACAAGTTTCAGCTAAGCCAAACATCGCTTTCCACTGGGCTCCTCCTGCTGCGGCAACAGTGGAGCTAGTCTGTCCACCCAGTGCTTAGTCTCTGCCACTGCACACATTTTACTGTAGTAGTAAACCGAAAAAACAAGGGAGAACATATTTTTTAAGACAAGACAATAGTCCCTTAAACTATTAGATTTTTATGATTTAATCACTATTTCTTAACTGAAAAAATGTGACCATTCCCTAATCACTAACAGTAAGGATCTAATCCTTTCAACATGTGTCTCTGCTCTTGGCAATGACATGTGGACTGTCCTTGAGACTGAACCCAAGTCCCAAGCAAAGGTTGTGCTAAACGCTCTACTAAACTGCTCTCATCCGAAATCTGAATCTCAGCTGACCACTTAATTCCAAGCAATGGTAGGAGTGCCACGCTCTCCAGTGTCACCACAACTTTCACATCAGATCCCAGCACAGAAGTAAAACAAATGGTTTCTGACCTCAGAGTCTCCAGTCTGCAGTGTGGACTCTCCAGAAAATCACACAGCAGCTTCACTCCTGAATCCTGCAGTATCTTGTTTTCACTCAGCTGCAGCTCTCTCAGATGGGAGGGGTTGGACTTCAGAGCTGAGGCCAGAGAAGCACAGCTGATCTCTGACAAACTGCACCAACTTAATCTGAATGACGAATAATTGATGGAGATAAAAACACATTATAATCAGATGTGTTCAGGTTTTAAATGTGGAGTTCAACATTATTATGTCCTAATCAATGAGCTTTTCCCTAAAATGAGTAGAGGGACTTTGTCATTGTGTTATTGTGGATCATCATAATGTCAGCCTTCTACAGACATCATCCAATGTCAGCACAACATTCATACACCTATTCATGTCAACACAGATCAATAACATGCTGCTGATCTCAGGCCAGTCTGGACTTAGAGGTGAAAAACTATATTGGTCCTTTAAACAGCTGCATTTGGAAATTTAACAAAAAATTATAAACATACATTTATTTTAACAACTAACAACAGACATTTTCTACAGTGTCTTTAAGAAACAAAGGCCTTTTCTAAATGCAGAATAAATGTAATTAAAAAAATATATAATAAAAAATATGCACAAAAAGACATGTACAAGTAACTTCAAATTGTTAATTAAACATATAGTAACAGAGAGTCAGTGAACTGACCTCAGAGTCTCCAGTCTACAGTGTGGACTCTCCAGAAAACCACATAGCAGCTTCACTCCTGAAACCTGCAGGTTGTTGTCACTCAGCTCCAGCTCTCTCAGATGGGAGGGGTTGGACTTCAGAGCTGAGGCCAGAGAAGCACAGCTGATCTCTGACAAACTGCAGCCCCTCAATCTGAATAAAGAGTAAATTATGTAACTTTAGAAGACAACGTTCGCTTGAAATCATTCAGTGTTTTATAATCTGTTCAGAGCTGAAGATGGTTTAGAATGTAGAAGTTTAGAAAATGGAAACTTCAAACACCTGAACCCAACAGGATGCAGGTTCAAACTGTAAAAAATAAAAAGGTCAAAAGAGATCTCACTAACATTACTTATTATTAATTGTTAAAAAAAACAATTCCCCCCTATCACCTCTTGCGGGGTCATCCTCAAGCTTTGGTCCTCTACCAGAGGCCTGGGAGTTTGAGGGTTCTGCTCAGTATCTTATCTGTTCCTAGGACTGCACTCTTCTGGACAGAGACCTCTGATGTTTTACCTGGAATCTGCTGAAGCCACTCTCCCAGTTCCTGATGTGGTAGACCCCAGCCTCTATTGATCTTGTACTGAGTGCCTGTTCTTGCGCCGCCATAATTAGTGCTCAATGTTAAACTTTTTTGCAACTGGCCCCGCCGGGCCAGTGGGTTTGAAACTTACTTTCCCAAAGACAATTTTTACTGTCCCTCCTTCCAAAAGTTATTTATCAGTAATACAAAAAACCCAAATACTTATAAGTAATGTTATAATGTTAACCATGCATCGGTTATTAAATACATCCTGGATATAAAAACACAGTCAAAATTATAAAAAATAAAAAGGTTAACAAAACAATTTACTTTTAAAACAAAACACACTAAGACTCAAACATGACGTGCCCTCTCTCTTGCTCACAGCCATTTAATAAAAAATGTACACAGAGCAGCACATACAAGTCGCCTCTATCCTGACTGACAGGACGCCATGGTAGCGACCTGTCAGTCACAAGGTAGTCCCGTCCAAAAGCATACGCTGTATTGTCGTCCAATTCCCCCTAAATAGGACCATAATTTACTAAATGAACATCATGCAGTGTTAAAGAATGCTTCAAACTAGCGACTGAGACACTAAACCCTAAATTGTTTACATTCTACCATTATTTCTAATGGAACCAGTCTTCCTGTTGCAACATGTGGACTCGCCCCCTGCTAGCTGTTATTGAGAATGCAGGTGTAAGTTCCGTCTGCAAGGTTTCACTTTCGACCCAGAGGTCGCTGCATGATTGAGATTAGAGAAACAACATTTGACAAGCACTCATCACGTAACTACAGATCTGGATTGGACATTGGTGCGCACCATGAGCTGCAAAACAACTGCAGGATGTAGAGTTTTTTAATTTATTTATTTTTAAATACTAATGTTTTTGCACTGGCCCGACGTTACATTTTACTGGCCCCGGGCCATCGGGCCGCCGTTATTGTCGAGCCCTGCAGCCACTTCTTCTATTTGTCTGTAGTACATGCCGTGCAGCGTCTTATCCCTCCATGAAGGTTCTTCATCTTCCTTGTCCCCACCCTTGGGTTTCTGCTGCCTGAGGTATTCACTAAGCCCTTCATCTTTGGGGGCCATCCTGATGTCGTCTTGGATCTTTGTCGTTTCATCCTGGACAGTGGTCTTGACACTCACTAGCCCTCGGCCTCCCACGCTACGCTTGGTGTACAGTCTCAGGGTGCTGGATTTGGGGTGAAACCCTCCATGCATAGTGAGGAGCTTTCTTGTCTTGATGTCAGTAGCCTCTATCTTCTCCTTTGGCCAGTTTACTATACCAGCGGGGTATCTAATGACAGGCATGTGTTGTTTTTCCCCCATTCAGCTGACTTTTCAGGACCTGCCTTACTCTCTGTAGGTATTTGGCTGTGGCGGACTTCCTTGCTGCCTCCTCCTGGTTTCTATAAGCCTGCTGCACCCCATGGTATTTGCAGCCTGAACATCTGCAATGTGGCCTTCTAGTAGTTCAATCCTCTCGGTTCTGATCATCTTCACTCTTTTTGATACCGTGTGACCACACTCCAGTCCAAACGACATTCCAATGTCGTTGCTGTAGATCCTGGTAGTGTGGATCAGTGATCATTTCTGGCATACAGCTTGATGTCATCCATGTAGAGGAGGTTGATGGTTGTTCCACTTCGGAACCAGTATCTGTAGCCAGTCTTTGTGATGATCTGGCTGAGGGGTTTCAGGTCAATGCAGAACAGCAGCGGGGATAGTGCATCACCTTGATATATGCTGCACTTGATGGCGACTTGTGCAATTGGCTTTGAATTGGCTTGCAGACTTGTTTTCCACAGCCCCATTGAGTTCTTGATGAAGGCTATTAGTGTCCTGTTGATCTTGTACATTTCCAAGCATTCCAGTATTCATGTATGTGGCATTGAGTTGTAGGCTTTCTTGTAGTCAATCCAGGCGGTGCACAGATTGGTCTGCCTGGTCTTGCAGTCTCGAGTGACTGCTCTGTCAACTAGTAGCTGGTGCTTGGCTCCCTCCCATTCCGGGCCCCCAGAGGCAGGTTATTGGCCGGCAGTTGGATGGGATTGTTCCCTTCTGGGGGTCCTTCATGATCAGGACTGTCCGTCCTTGGGTTAACCATTCTGGGTGGGTCCTATCCATCAGCAGTTGGTTCATTTGTGCTGCTAGGCATTCATGGAGTGCAGTTAGTTACTTCAACCAGTAGGTTTGGATCATGTCAGGGCCTGGTGCTGTCCAGCATATATATATACATATAAAATAAATGAAAAAGCCTAGAAATAAGTGCACTGTCTCTTGAGGAAGGAAAGAGAAGGTACTTGAACCCCTTTTCATGTCTATGTGTGCACGTGCCTGGCTACGGCTTAGGCTTGATTTACTGTGGAGAGGAACCATCTGGCTTACTATACTGCAAGTGCACAGTGTAAAAGCCAGCATCCATGATGATATGGGGGTGCATTAGTGCACATAGCATGGGTAACCTGCACACTTGTTGAGGCACCATTGATGCTGATGATATATAGGCTACAGGTTTCGGAGTAACACTTGCTGCCAAGTTGACTTCCTTTTTTATATAGTGCAAAATCAAAGTCACTGAACCTTCCACCCATCACTACTTCTCAGGGCTCCGAGATTGAGACTGTGTCTCAATACAAATATCTCGGTATCTTAATTGATGATTCTCTCACTGTTAAACCTCACATTCAGCAGTTGGCAAAAAAACTGAAGCTGAAACTAGGTTTTTATTTTAAAAACAAGTTGTGTTTTTCCTTTGAGGCCAAAAGGAGACTTGTGGCTGCCACTTTTATGTCAGTGCTGGACGATGGCAAAGTTGTATACATGCATGCATCCTTTCAAAGCTTGAAACTGTTGGATACTGTTTACCACGGAGCTCTGAGGTTTATCACAAACTTTAGAGCCCTTACTCATCATTGCTCCTTGTATGAGCGGCTTGGTTGGTCTGCATTGTCCACCCGTAGACTTAATCATTGGCACATTCTTATTTACAAGGCTATTCTTGGTCTGTTTCCCCCAAACCTACATCAAAAAGAAAGGCACAGGAAGATATTGTCTTCGTTCTGAGGACTTATTACTACTGTCCGTCCCTCAAGTCTGAACTGAATTGGGAAAAAGGGCGTAAGTATGCGGCGCCCTGCACTTGGTATCAGCTGCAAAATGTCCTAAATCTACAGGAGCCGGTTTCACTTTTAAAGTTCTTTTAAAGGCTGTACACACTGGCTGTAAATGTTATGAATTATTACTCGGATGATCCTTGTTGTTTACCACTTGTGGTAAATATATATGAAATTTTGATATTTTATGACCTTGTAACTCACCATTTATTCCCATCATAAACTGTTATATGTTTTACGTTTATGTTATATGTTTTGATGTCTGCAACCTTGTTAATTGTGCTGCTGCCTGTCTTGGCCAGGACACTCTCGGAAAAGAGATTTTTAATCTCAATGAGTTTTCTTTCTGGTTAAATAAAGATAAAAGAAAAAAGAAAAAGCGCCAGCTAAATGTAATGTAATGTAAAAAGAAGAGCTGATGTGGCAGAGCAGGAAACTGGCATAAAATTCAAAATGGACATCATTTTTCAACATTTTATAAGTTGTCTGTGCTATTTTCAATTAAATATGGGGTTTCAATGTTTTGCACGACTTCACATTTTATTTCTATTTTCATTTTAAAACAATCTTCAAATAAGTTTTATACAATTCAGTATACGCATCCTATACCTTCATGAAATAAATTATGAATAAATGAATAAAAAAAGTAAAGAATACTCTAAATATGTGTTATTGTCTGAAAGTGGAAATTGAGATTATTGTATTTATGTATTTTACTGAAAAATATGATCTAGAATAAACAATTAAAATAAGGTTTCAGAATGAGGTTCAAAGTGAATTATCCAGTGTAGATTTGAGCTCAACGTTGCTCTGCCACAGGACTTAAGATACTCAGCATGGATCAGTATATTATCAGCCTTATGTCTGCAGTTTAGTGTCACCACAACTTTGACATCATATTAATCTCAGTACAAAAAGAAAAAAAATGGTGTCTGACCTCAGAGTTTCCAGTCTGCAGTGTGGACTTTCCAGAAAACCACACAGCAGCTTCACTCCTGAATCCTGCAGGTAGTTGTCACTCAGGTCCAGCTCTCTCAGATGGGACGGGTTGGACTTCAGAGCTGAGGCCAGAGAAGCACAGCTGATCTCTGACAACTTGCAGCCCCTCAATCTGAATAAAGAATAAATGATAGAGATATAAATCCATTTCTAATCCAATCAGCTTTTCCCTAAAATGAGTTGAGGGACTTTGTCATTGTGTTATTGTGGATCATCATAATGTCAGTCTTCTACAGACATCATCCAAATGTCCACCTATTCATGTCAACACAGATCAATAACATGCTGCTGATCTCAGGCCAGTCTGGAGTTTAAGGAATTAGGAATTAGAGGAGGAAAACTATATTGGTCCTTTAAAGAGCTGCATTTGGGAATATGGTGTGATCTCTGAGTTCCTGTTTGTTTGTGTGTTGTTTGCTCGTGCGTGTGTGTGTGTGTGTGTTCTGAAGGATCAATATCAATGATCAGAGATTATCTGTGAACACATTGAAATCAACAGAAACTTCAGCAAGAAACTATTAATTTAAAACAAATATTAGTTCAGAGGGTCTTCTGTATACAGATGTGGCCATTTACCAAAAATTATAAATACTCATTAACTTTAACAACAGCGGATATTTTCTACAGTTTATTTAAGAAACACAAGTCTTTGTGACTGCAGAATTTAGTACAAATTTAGTTATATTTAGTTATAAATTTAGTACAAGAAACGTGAAAATATGAACAAAAGGACATTTATGGATGGAGGAAGTTATGTATAAACAGAAATTAGGTTCAATTGTTAATTAAACTTGTCAGATCTAGAATAGTAACAGTCGGTGAACTGACCCTAGAGTCTCCAGTCTACAGTGTGGATTCTCCAGAAAAACCCACAGCAGCTTCACTCCTGAATCCTGCAGCATCTTGTTTCCTGTCAGGTCCAGCTCTCTCAGATGGGAGGGGTTGGACTTCAGAGCTGAGGCCAGAGAAGCACAGCTGATCTCTGACAAACTGCACCAACTCAATCTGAATAAAGAATAAATGGAGAAACAAATCCATTTCTAATCCAATCAGATGTGTTCAGATTTTAAATGTGGAGCTCAACATTACTATGTCCTAATAATAATAAATAATAATAATAATAATAATAATAATCTTTATTCGTAGAGCACTTTTCAAAAACAAGTTACAAAGTGCTAATCAATGAGCTTTTCCCTAAAATGATTAAAGTGACTTTGTCATTGTGTTATTGTGGATCATCATAATGTCAGACTTCAACAGACATCATCCAAATGTCAGCACAACATTCATATTACAATAGTGATGCATGCAGAGGCAGCTGCCAGTAGCTACTTCAAACTTCACAAAATATTGTTTTAATTTGTTATTCTTCTTTGCTTTTATTACCAAAGCATTTTTTCATGTGCAGGGATCGGAGTCGGTGCAGTGGACCTCTTGACGATCAAATATCTCCACGAGCGGCGCAATCATCACAGGAAGAGGGGGAAGGGATCTAAGGCTATACCACTACACAGTTTACTTCTGGTGCAAAAATGCTGTAGTGATTTGACTAATCATCCTCCCAGATGCTCCAACAAAAAAATTGGTACCCTTCCATTTACTGCACCCCAGAACAAGCAACGGGACATCAGAGACTGCTGTGCTCACATCTTTACAGAGACCTGATTCCACCACAATGTCTGGAAAGACTGCGGAAAGGGTGGGGTGGGGCGTTATGGAGCACAGAAGAGAGTTGACGTGTCCCCTTACTGCTCTGAGATAATATGACAAAATATACTCATTCATGCCAGGATGTCAAACAATCAGCAAAAGCAAGAGACGGGTAGGACAGGCCACACAGCAGTAAACCTCTTGAAACGGCCACTGCAACAATAATGAACACTGACACTGCTAACACCCTCAATGCGCCGCTGCTACACTCCAAAATACTGTCTATGAGACTAGAATTAAAGAGCTCAATCAAACAACTTTACATTACACCAGAGGTCACCAACCCATCGATCGCGATCGACATGTCGATCTTTGAGACTTTTCCTGTAGATCGTGAAAATATTAAAATAATTACACAATCATTTAAATGCCCGATTAAAGTTCGGTTTTGCAAGGAGCCTCTCTCTTGAGCCAGCTGTAGTTTCTTTACAGTAGCAAGAAAGTGACCAATAAAATGAAAGTACAATTGAATTGACCAATGAATTAAGAGAAGTCGTCCTCGTCCTTTTTTACGTTAGTTAAAGACAAGTGTATATGTATGTTATGCCGGCAAACACAAGCACTGACTAAAAGAGGAAATCTGGAGCGGCACCACAATGCTAACCACCCGACCTTTAGGGACAGCTATCCGCCGAAGAGCGCCATCCATGCTAAAAAAGTGGCGGTGCTAAAGTTGGAGTTGAAAGCCCAGCAGTCGCTCTTCACTAAACCTGCTGTTCGACATAAGGCTGCCACAGAAGCATCATTTCGTGTAAGTCACCTTTTGGCCAAACATAAGAAGCCTTTTACAGACGGCGAGTTAATCAAGGAGGCTATGGCTATTACTGCCGACACAGTTTGCAACGACTTCAAAAACAAAGATGACATCAAAACAGCACTCAGCAGTGTCCCGCTTGGCCCTGCTACAGTGACAAGAAGGGTGGAATCATTGTCGGAGGACGTGGATCAACAGGTGTTAAGGGTCCTGTCACTTTGTGAATATTTCTCACTGCAGTTGGATGAATCCCTGGATGTAATGGACACAGCTCAGCTTGTTGTATTTGTCAGAATGGTTTTCCAGGATTCTACAACAAAGGAGGACTTTCTCACTCTTCTGCACTTGAAGGACAGAACAAGGGGTGAGGATATTTTTAAGGAATTTAAAAAATACATTGCATAATCATAATATTAATAATTGCATTCCAATTCATAAACTTGTGGCAATCATTACTGATGGAGCTCCAGCAATGCGCGGTGTGCGCTCTGGTTTTATAGCACTGTGCCGCAATGATCCTGCTTTTCCAGACTTTGTGAATTATCACTGCGTAATTCATCAGCAGGCCTTGGTTGGGAAAGTCGTGGACTTCTCTCACGTCATGACACTGGTGGTCAAACTGATTAACTCGATTCGAGCAAAAGCTCTCCAACATCGTTTATTCAAGGCGTTATTGGATGAGCTCGATGACGCTTACGGAGACCTGATTCTCCACGCTAATGTCTGGTGGCTGAGTCACGGCAAAGTGCTACAGAGATTTGTTGACTTGCTGCCAGAGATAAAGACTTTTCTGTCAACGAGGAATGAGGAGCACAAAGAACTGTCAGATGACGCGTGGCTACTTGACCTCGGATTTCTGACGGACTTAACGGCAAAACTGAATGCACTGAACACTGAACCCTACTGATCACAGCACTTTAATTGGGAAGCTAGAAATCGCCGTTAGCATACTATCTGTGCAAGTAAAGTGTCTAGATGACAAGTGTGAAGACCTAAAGGGCAGATCCAGAAGCAACAACATATACAGAAGGACTGGAGGGACCCCATGCCACTGATTTTGTCACCCAGCTGCTCCAGGGCCTGTTCTGCCTCTTCGTAATTGTGCCCACTGGACCCTACGAGACAAGCCAGAGAAGCCCAAGAAGCCCTTTAAGTCCCACCGGTAAGATGTATTCCTTTTAGGGCTGTCCCCAACTAAAGACTTACATAGTCGAATCAGAATTGTCAAGTCTTGCCTATAGTTGACTGCTTCACTAGTCTTGTGCAGAGTTTTGCTTTTGCACATCGCAGTTCCTCGCAGGTTTATTTCAAATAGCCTACTATTTCAACTAGCAAGAACCACAATCAATGGATACAGTTAAATGATTTATTGATGATGGAAACAGAATGATGTACGAGGCCTGCAGTTGCTAAATAGACATTTGAAAGCGTTGTGGGGAAGCTATGAAAGGGAAATCCGCAGTAGCACCTGGTCCGTACTCTGAATTCTTATCTGAATTTGCAGAGTTTTTGTCAACTTTAGTCCTTAAAACGGACAAAGTTATTATTGTAGGGGATTTTAATATTCATGTGGACGTTGAGAATGACAGCTTTAGTACTGTGTTTATCTCTCTCTTAGATTCCATTGGCTTCTCTCAGAATGTTCATGAACCGACTCACTGTTTTAACCACACCATCGACCTTGTTTTGTTGTATGGTATTGAAACTGAACATTTTGTGGTGTTCCTACAGAATCTCTCTTTGTCCGACCACTGTTTGATAACTTTTGAGTTTGTATTGTTGAACTAGCCTGTTCACGGTGGGCATGCCATACTGACACGATAGTGTTGAAAAGTTTGTTGTATTGTCTGTTCTGTAAACATTTACATTTATTCATTTAGCAGACGCATTTATTCATTTAGCAGACGCTTTTACCCAAAGCTATACATGTCACAGGTCGCACGCCTCTAGAGCAACTAGGGGTTAAGTGTCTTGCTCAGGGACACAAAGGTAGATGGGTCACAGTGGGGAATTGAACCCATGTGTCTTATCCATTGCGCCATCACCACCCCACAGGGTGCCCAGTACAGGATTCTTTCATCTTCAACAGTTTTCTAAAGAGTGGCTATAGTCCATTTCGAAATCGTTTATAAAGACTTTTTGACGTGGGACCTCGCTGGAGTGGGGCAACGCTGTGATCAGCTGTTCTTGTGAAACGGAGGATACTCAGGTGAGATGGAGTTAAGCTAGACTCACCCACTTCCTGGCCGGCTTTACAATTGTGGAAAACGGGGTCGGAGACGGAAGAGAAGTGTCTTCCTGTGCAGGGTCTGCTGCCGTGGAAACGAAGATCACACTTGACTTCATCTTTATTGAGCTTTGCATTCAGGTCTTTCTTTTGATATCCAAGCTATGTCTCTCTGTGTTTACACAGAAGCTCAAACTCTCTGCAGTCGGTTTTTATCTGCTATCATCAGATCTCCAACAACCTCATTCATATCCCTCACACACTCTACAGCATCATCAGTACTGACATTATCTCCACTGACTTATGGACCACAATGCGAGTCTGTGGAAGTTGAAAAACTGTCCTGTCAAACATGTAATTTCTCTACTTTTTGTTACTCGGCCATTTGGAAAGAAAGAACATTTCTGATTTCTCACTGGCTCAGCATATATGCCCCACTGATTGCTGACGATCAGCTCCAGCTGCGGGATTCACGCAGCGCCAGGCTGCCAACAAGCGCCCAAGCCAGAGAGAAGGAACAGAACCACCTGAAGGGGGCACTTACAGCCTGTGGATACCCTAAATGGACCTTTGTGAAGACAGCCACAAGATCCAAGAAGAACAAAACTACAGGGGAGGAGGAAAAGAAGGTCAAACGCAACAACATTGTGATTCCATACGTGTCTGAAGTATCAGAGAAACTCAGGAGGATTTTCAACAAACATAACATCCCTGTGTTTTTTAAACCCAAGAACACACTAAGATGCTGGTACACCCCAAAGACCGCACACCCAAACACAAGAAAAGCAATCTAGTGTATGCGGTCCAATGCAGTGAGGAATGCACAGACCTGTATATTGGGGAGACTAAACAACCACTACACAAACGCATGGCTCAACACAGAAGGGCCAACTCCTCAGGTCAAGACTCTGCTGTCTACTTACATCTGAAGGACAGAGGACACTCGTTTGAGGACCACCAGGTGCACATTTTAGACAGAGAAGATGGATGGTTTGAAAGAGGTGTCAAGGAAGCATCTACACCAGGGTTGAGAAGCCGTCATTGAACAGGGGAGGGGGTCTACGCCACCACTTATCCCCCACTTACAATGCTGTCCTTTCATCACTTCCCAGGAAACTCAACAAACGTAACCTATTGGCCTCAGGTGAAGATACCAACGATGGTCGTTCAGTCTCGGCCACAGGTAGTCTTAACGACTGTAACGACTGTCGTCACAGCAACAAGGAACACTAACGAACCAGCGGTATCGATGACCCGGGATAACGACCCCACTGAGGTTAAATAGCTGAGTTTCCCTGCCAGTCAGTCAGAACTGAAGAAGTCCTTCGGATGAGGGACGAAACGTCTTCCAGTATCTTCAACCAAGTCCAGTTGCCCTTGATTTTAACCTTCGTTGGATAACTATGACCTGGATGACTGAGAATCTTCATAGACATCAGGCTCAGGACACACCCACCTGCAGGAGAGGGACAGACGCACCCACAGCAACACAAGCACAGCACACAGCACCTCAGAGACCTCACGGGTTGTAACAAACAAAAAAAAACAAAATAACTACATAAGCTAAAGGCATTGAACTGACCTTAGAGTTTCCAGTTTACAGTTTGGACTCTCTAGTCCAGCACACAGCAGCTTCACTCCTGAATCCTGCAGGTTGTAGTTTTCACTTAGGTCCAGCTCTCTCAGATGGGAGGGGTTAGACTTCAGAGCTGAGGCCATGACTTCACAGTGAGTCTTTGAGATTTGAGAGCCAGAAAGTCTGTAATGACACATATATAACAAAAAAAATGATATTGAAAGAAGAAACTTCAATGTGTTTAAATCGCAGTTTGACATTCCAGTTTCGATTAACATTTGCTCTTCACATCAGTGGTTCAACTAATGTTATCTCACTGTGTTTGAGATGAAACAATAATTCTTTGTCATTACTGCTCACTTTAATATTTGTTTTTGCTTTAATCTGGCACATTAAGGGAAGTAAGTAAGTAAGTAAGTAAACTTTATTTATATAGCACCCTTCACAGACAAGAGGGGTCACAAAGTGCTTCACAGTAAAAAATAGAATAAAATAAAATAAACAACAACAACACTTAAAATACAAAACTTTATGGCTAGTTAAAAGATCTAAGATCTAAAAAGATGTGTCTTAAGGTGTTTTCTAAAGGTTTCCACAGAATCCAAGGCTCTCAAGGCTAAAGGGAGAGCGTTCCAGAGCCTTGGAGCCACCACATAGAAAGCACGATCACCTCTTGTTTTATAACGTGTTCTGGGAACAGTTAAAAGGTCTTGGCCTGAAGACCTCAGAGAGCGACCAGAAATGTGTGCATGCAACAGATGCTGGATGTAAGAGGGAGCTTGTCCATGCAAGGCTCTATAAGTAATGGTTAAGATTTTAAAATGTACTCTAAAACCAATCGGAAGCCAATTAAGAGCCTTAAGCACAGTAGTAATGTGTGATCTCTTGTTAGTTTTAGACAAAAGCCTTGCAGCTGCATTCTGCACAACTTGCAGTCGGTCTATGGAGGATTTGTTTAGACAAGTGTACAGTACATTGCAATAATCCAGACGAGAAGAAATAAAAGCATGAACAAGCATCTCCATCTCTTCTTTAGAATCCATAGATCTAATCTTAGCGATGTTCCTGAGATGGAAAAAACAGGAACAAACCATAGATTTAACATGACTGTTAAAACACATAGATTTGTCAAAAATGACAGCCAGATTTCACACAACATTACTGTCAGAGGATGATAGAGCCCCAAGGGCTTGCCTAATTTTAGGGGTAATATTGTCTGGGGCAAAATTCAACACCTCAGTTTTGTCTGTATTTAGTTGCACAAACTTGTCTGCCATCCATTTGTTACTGGAGGCTAAGCAATTGTGCAACACAGACAGTTTGTCTAGCCTATGAGGACTAAAAGAGAAATATAATTGGATATCATCAGCATAACAATGATAAAATATGTCTTCAAAGCTACCACTAATCTTTCCAAGAAGAAGCATATACAGACTGAACAGCAGGGGGCCGAGCACAGAACCTTGGGGCACGCCACAGGACAAAGGGGCAGAGTCTGACATTCCACAGTTCCTATGGACACAGAAACTTCTGTCAGAGAGATAGGAGGGAAACCAGTTCAGAGCCGATCCAGTAATGCCCACAGTTGTTTTCAGTGCACTGCACTGAGATCCAATAGGACCAGCACAGAACATTTACCCCCATCAGCAGCCATCAAAATATCATTTGAGACCCTAAGGAGGGCAGTCTTAGTTGAATGGTTTTTACGAAAACCAGACTGAAATTTATCAAAGATATTATGGGAATCCAAAACATTATGTAGCTGGTTCGCAACAACCTTTTCTAGAATTTTCGAAAGAAAAGGCAATTTAGAAATAGGCCTATAGTTTCTAAATGAAGCTGCATCAAGATAGTTCTTTTTCAAGATAAGATAAACAGCTAAAAACAGTTGGTCACCTGGCCCAGCTGAAGATTTAAGTTTAAAATTGAAACCAAACATGGGCCAAGTAGATGTATGGATTTTAAAAGCAAAGATGTGGGTAAAATATCATCAGGGCTGTTACGGGGTGTGGTGTGTGGACAGAGAGGACCCAAATGCTGCACTCAGAGGGAAGGAGGTTTATTGGGGGAAAAAAGGGGGAGAGGGACTGGAGTGGAGGGAGAGGAGGACGTCGGGGAAGTACTGGCGCGGGGAACCAAGGAGACAGGGGGCCAGGGAGCCGGGGAACACGGGCCGAGGAAGCGAGGAGAGGCAGGGGAACAGGGAGGACGCCGAGAGGGAGGTCCGAAGGGGAGTGGGCCAGTGGATGAGCCCAGCCGAGGACGAGGGTGAGTGTACCTGGGAGGGAAACAAACAGAGAGACAAGGTTAGGGGGAGACAATGACAAGGCACAGGGTAAGTTTGAAAAAACAAGAAACAAGGAAGCCTGAACACAGGAGTGGCACCAGGTATGGAGCAACGACGATCAAGCAAGGATGGTGTGGAGAACCGGGGTTGAAATACAGGCTGGGATGAGGTTGATTACTGGCAGGTGTGGCAGGCTGACGAGGTGGATGATGGGTTGCAGGTGCAGGTAGTTGGCTGGGCTCAGGAGCAGAGGGAGAGAGCACACGGGGGAGAAAACACAGAGAGGCGGGCAGAGAACAGGAAACCAAGGGAAAAAACAGAAAAACTGATAAAAAGTAGAAAAAACCAGGACACTCACCGTCAGCCGGGCTGCCACCACAACAGGGCCCCCTCCTCAATGGACGCCTCCCGGCGGCCTTCCTATAGGACAGGGGGTTTGGCAGGTGAACACGGGGGGGAAGATGTACTGGGGTCCGGCTGATGGGGGTCCAGGGTCCAAAACCAAACTGGGAATTCAGGGAGGGCTTCAGGGCAGGGAAGGGTTAGGGGAACGGGCAGGGCGGAACTGAAAACTCAGGGCTAGACAGGGTGCCAGAGGGCGGAGCTGGGGGACCAGGGAGTTCGGGCGGACGTCCCGAGGGCGGAGCTGGGGGACCAGGGGGTTCGGGCGGACGTCCCGAGGGCGGAGCTGGGGGACCAAGGGGTTCGGGCGGACGTCCCGAGGGCGGAGCTGGGGGACCAGGGGGTTCGGGCGGACGTCCCGAGGGCGGAGCTGGGGGACCAGGGGGTTCGGGCGGACGTCCCGAGGGCGGAGCTGGGGGACCAGGGGGTTCGGGCGGACGTCCCGAGGGCGGAGCTGGGGGACCAGGGGGTTCGGGCGGACGTCCCGAGGGCGGAGCTGGGGGACCATGAGGGTCCGGTGGAACAGGGGAGCCCGAGGGCAGACCAGGGGAGCCAGGTTGGTCCGACGGGCAGCCCGAGGGCGGACAGGGGGAGCCAGGAAGTTCAGGGGAGCAGGGTTGGTCCGACGGGCAGCCCGAGGGCGGACAGGGGGAGCCAGGAAGTTCAGGGGGGCAGGTCGAATGCAGAGCAGGAGAGCCAGGGAGATCCGGCGGGCAGGCCGAGGGCGGAACAGGGGAGCCCGAGGGCAGACCAGGGGAGCCAGGTTGGTCCGACGGGCAGCCCGAGGGCGGACAGGGGGAGCCAGGAAGTTCAGGGGGGCAAGTCGAATGCAGAGCAGGAGAGCCAGGAGGGTCCGGCGGGACAGGGCAGCCCGAGGGCAGACCAGGGGAGCCAGGAGGGTCCGGCGGAACAGGGGAGCCCGAGGGCAGACCAGGGGAGCCAGGTTGGTCCGACGGGCAGCCCGAGGGCGGACAGGGGGAGCCAGGAAGTTCAGGGGAGCAGGGTTGGTCCGACGGGCAGCCCGAGGGCGGACAGGGGGAGCCAGGAAGTTCAGGGGGGCAGGTCGAATGCAGAGCAGGAGAGCCAGGGAGATCCGGCTGGCAGGCCGAGGGCGGAACAGGGGAGCCCGAGGGCAGACCAGGGGAGCCAGGTTGGTCCGACGGGCAGCCCGAGGGCGGACAGGGGGAGCCAGGAAGTTCAGGGGGGCAAGTCGAATGCAGAGCAGGAGAGCCAGGAGGGTCCGGCGGGACAGGGCAGCCCGAGGGCAGACCAGGGGAGCCAGGAGGGTCCGGCGGGCGGCCCGAGGGCGGACAGGGGGAACCAGGAAGTTCAGGGGGGCAAGTCGAATGCAGAGCAGGAGAGCCAGGAGGGTCCGGCGGGACAGGGGAGCCCGAGGGCGGACCAGGGGAGCCAGGAGGGTCCGGCGGGCGGCCCGAGGGCGGACCAGGGGAGCCAGGAGGGTCCGGCGGGCCGAGGGACAGGCTGGGGGCTAGCGGCGCTAGCGGGCCAAGGAACAGGCTGGGAGCTAGAGGCGCTGGCAGGCATGGGGGCAGGCTGGGGGCTGGCGGCTGGGGTCTGGCTACACAGGGAAATGCTTCCCAGCCTGCAACTAGCGGGTTGGATAGGAGACCACCGAGGGCAAGCGGGGAGATGGAAAAATCTGGCCAGCCTCTCCGGGACGGCGTCTCTCAGCCAAGGCCTCTGAGAAACTTTTACCTGGCCAAAGGTCAAAAGCGCCAGCTTGTAGCCCGTGTGGGTCGAGCCCCTCCACTTCTCCTCCAACTCCAACAGCTCCTTGCATAGCTGACTAGCTTCCTCCTGATGGGCGGTTGCTGGGTCCATAGTTGGCTTGATCGTTCTGTTACGGGGTGTGGTGTGTGGACAGAGAGGACCCAAATGCTGCACTCAGAGGGAAGGAGGTTTATTGGGGGAAAAAAGGGTGAGAGGGACTGGAGTGGAGGGAGAGGAGGACGTCGGGGAAGTACTGGCACGGGGAACCAAGGAGACAGGGGGCCAGGGAGCCGGGGAACACGGGCCGAGGAAGCGAGGAGAGGCAGGGGAACAGGGAGGACGCCGAGAGGGAGGTCCGAAGGGGAGTGGGCCAGTGGATGAGCCCAGCCGAGCGGAGGACGAGGGTGAGTGTACCTGGGAGGGAAACAAACAGAGAGACAAGGTTAGGGGGAGACAATGACAAGGCACAGGGTAAGTTTGAAAAAACAAGAAACAAGGAAGCCTGAACACAGGAGTGGCACCAGGTATGGAGCAACGACGATCAAGCAAGGATGGTGTGGAGAACCGGGGTTGAAATACAGGCTGGGATGAGGTTGATTACTGGCAGGTGTGGCAGGCTGACGAGGTGGATGATGGGTTGCAGGTGCAGGTAGTTGGCTGGGCTCAGGAGCAGAGGGAGAGAGAGCACACGGGGGAGAAAACACAGAGAGGCGGGCAGAGAACAGGAAACCAAGGGAAAAAACAGAAAAACTGATAAAAAGTA